TAATAATAATAATAATAATAATAATAATAATAATAATAATAATAATAATAATTTATTGTCATTGTAAGTATATACACATACAACGAAATTCACAAGTAGATTTGGAAGTTGCAGCAGATCCACAGTGAAATTGCAGAGGTCTCCTCTAGACTAACAGTGAGGTTTCAAATCCCCAAAAAGAACCCCTGTCTCTGCTCTATCTGGGATTAAAAACTGGATTTAGACCTATAAACTCCACCACTACTACTCTGTATTTAAGATCAAAAAACAAAATTATGGGCAAAAAGATTACCCATACCTTTGCCCCTGGTGGTTCTGTTTGGCTGTAGGTTGTAACATAAAAACCTTCGAGTTCTTTTGCTCCGAAACCTAGACTGCAGAAGTAGATTTGGAAGTTGCAGCAGAACCACGGTGAAATTGCAGAGGTCTCCTCTAAACTAACAGTGAGGTTTCAAATCCCCAAAAATATTCTTTGCCTGCTTTTAGGAAAAGCAAGATGAGTTTTGTAAAATAAGCGATGAATTCAAGTTTTGCATGATCTGTACAGGTTTTGAGAATTTGAGGTACACTTTCTTCCCTCCATTTCTCTCTCAATTAGTTCAGAGCATATATGCAGCCCTTTTTTCCACCCATGCACAAATTTCCCATACTCCCTTGCCTCTGTTCAGCATCCCCCGCATGAGTTGGAAGGAGCTGTTCTTCAGAAAGTGGGGGAGAAATTTACTTTGGATCAGCGACCGAGTACTGTGAGAATCCATACAAACATTTGATCCAGTCCAACCAGCATAGCAGGGGAAGCAGTAAACTCTTAATCCCATTGCAATTATAACCAAAGCCAAGGTTTGTGGTTGGGCTGCTGTAAACTTGATACTCTTTCCTTCCAGATGAGGTGTTAACTGTTTGCTCGCAGTATTCATTTGGTTCTTATTGGCCAGGCACATGGCTGATATCCAGTCTACATTAATTTTTAGGTGGGGGAAGAATCGGGAGTGATGTTAGAAAAGGAGATCCTGGCTGTCTAAAGATGGTGGGGATTTGGTTATTGTGCACTAGTCCCTGGAGAAGCCACATGGATGAGTTGATGGACCAAGCCAAGATGTGCAAGGTTGTCAGACAGGAAAACATGACATTAGAGTAAAAGTCTGCCTTTCCTCAAGACACCTGGCTCAGTTGTAAGCTGTTGTCAGGACATGCCTTAAATATTCTATATTAAAAGTCAGGAACAGGTGTGTGCCTGCCTCATAAAACAGTTCCACCTTGTTCATTGCTGTTTTTAGCTGTCCTCAGGGCTCTTTTTAACATTGCAAAGATCTATTGTTTTGCTTCATTATTTTTATCCCTCGTAAGATAAAAGGTCAGCTTTGCACTTTGGGTGTCCTCTTGGATCTGGCCTTCTCTATGGAGGTGCAAATTTCTCCTGTGACCAAAAGTGCTTTTTAATCAACTTCTGCGGATTGCCCAGCTGCGCCCCAACCTAGAGAGGAAATGCCTAGATATTTATGCGTTGATAATAAATTGGGGTGGTTGGTGGCTAACCACAAACCACCCCTGGACCCTGGAATAACAAACCGTTTTGTGGTTCATTTTTTCCCCAGGTTCATGTTTACGGGAGGGGCACCTAATGCCTCCACCCCCCCCCGACACAAGGTGGGTGCATGAAAAGAGACAGCTGGCCTGTCTCCTCCTGGGAGGGAAGCCGGGACCCTGTTTCTGAAGGTGGTGGTGGTAGAGAAGGAAGAGGAGGAAGTGGCAGGACCTGGTAGGGAGGCAATGAGGGTAGTGGGAAGGGGGTAGGTGGGGGTGTTAGGTTCCCTTTCTCCCAGGCACAAACCAGAAAAAGATGGTTTGCAGTTTGTTTGTTTTTCTGGGATTGGTGGGTGGTTCGTGATTCGTGGGTAGCCACAAACCACCCCGATTTGGCATTTTTTTTGTGCCCGCCTCTATTGGCTATGCTTGGAAAGAGTCGACCTGGAGGTAGTACATAGCCAGCAATAGGCTGTGGTATTTGGGACACTCCCTTGCTTTTTGAAGGCTATGAACATGGCCTGAGCATTTCTGGGTAGGCTCCTATGGATGATTTTAAAAAGCAAACACTTTGAATTTCCAGGCCCGTCAGTTGGCCTCATTAAGCATGCAAGCCCCTTTCCACTGGGACGGCCCTCCTATGGCTAGAGCTAGGGTTAACCTATGATTTTTGCTGCTTGAATGGAAGAATATTCCACATTCAGAGACCAATGGGACTAATAAGTGGATCTAACTATAGTGCTGGAACAATGAACGTGAGGCCAGCTGGCCAGCTCAAGGGGTGCAGGGTGAGCTGAATGATGCACACAACTCTGCACCCCAGTACTCTGCTGACTTTAGATATTTTTCAGTCTGAAGTATTTTTCTCATTCTGCCCAGATCTTGTAAGTAGTTATAAGAAAAAACAATAGGAAACAAAGCCAAAGCCTGTAACTAGGTATGTTTATGCATAACAAGGGTGTACAGAAGTAATGTAATCAGTGTTTTGCAAGTTACTTTTTTGTTATAGCCAGTAACTTTTCATGATTAAGTTTAAAATTATTTCAAAGAGAATGTCACATCTTTTAAGAAGCATTTCAACACAATTTCCCCAGGTTTTATCCCATTCTGTTGTCTGTTTTAA